CCGCTCTGGAATCAAACGTGAACTTTTTGTTTCATGTCGTTGCGCATCCATGCCTTCCCTTTCCCTACGTGCTTTGGAACAGTTTCTGGTACTCCATGCTGCAGTTCATAACGGGCCCGCGTCGCATAGCCTCCGGACTCCTGACCATCGCCAAGTCGCACTGCGGCAACCCCAAGATCATGCGCTTCCTGTCCCCGTGCGCCTGCGGGGACGACAATCGCATCGTGGAAGACACCCCGGCCGCAAACGTGCACGTCGACGATGCCGAGCTCGGCGCATTTCTCGACGAGATGGACGGATCAGCACTCAACATCCGCCTGGGTCGCGAAATTGCTGGCAGTGTTCTCGGCCTTAGCGCTTGGTATGGTGTTTGGTGGGAGTGGGAGGGAGCAGGTTGCTTGTACATAGCGTTCGGCAATAGTCTATAGGCAGTCTATATCGTGAACCGGTGAAACTTTTATTTTGTCACGTGTGTTATCGAGGCACGCGTCATACGCCTGCATTTTGACAAGTGCGTGCGTACCTTGGACGTGATACACACAACGCAGAGGTTATTTTGCGTGTCGCCGGGGGGAGGGGCACCCAAGTATGGCGGTGCTACGGGCATGGGGCAAGTAGGTTTGGTCGGACCTTTATTTCGTTGAGTTGAGTCTCCGTATGCACAAGAATGTGGGCTTGAGCGGGTACATGCAAGTTGCGTGAACCTGAAGGCAAGGGGTGCGATTTTTCGGTAGTGAAGGAATGGGTTGATACATTTTGTTTTGGATTTTTTATTGTATTTATGTTAATAAATTGTGTGGTTCACGATGCGTCCTGAGTTGGTTGATGCACGTCGTGACTACGTTTTGCAATGTCGAAAGTGGTCGTCGAAGTTTGGGTTTTGGGATGCATTCTACTGTAAATGGCGTGGATGAGCTTGAGCGTTGCTGTACGTGTAGGAACACCAAATGCTGCTGCGAGGGACGCGACAAGAAAATAACCAAACAAATATCGAAAGGAAAGGAAAATCTCCATTTTTTCGGCCCCGTTAGTACCACTGACTGACACGATCTCTACAGGGTTTTCCCAGGGTGTGCACCCCGCCAGGGTCCCTGAGTGGCAGGGTACGTACAGGGTGTGGGATCAGTACCCTGGCAGGGTACCCACCCTGCGTCACCCTGCGTTTGGGTCAAGTCTACAGCGTAGTTCCGGTGTGACCTTGACAGGGTGAAATTTCCCCACCCTGGCAGGGTAGCCGAATGGCTACAGGTGGTCTGTGGATACCAATCAATGGAAAGCAGCTATGGACAAGTAGATGAGAAGCCTGAAAGATCATGATGTGGCGGATCTAGTTCCAATTCAGAGTCTACCTCCTGGAGCTAAACCCATTGGATCGAGATGGTTATACAAGATGAAAGCAACCGGAGTTATGAAGGCAAGACTTATCGTCCAAGGCTGGGGACAACGGCATGCAATCGACTGTGGAGGAACCTACGCACCTGTGAGTAGATTTAGCTCACAGCTGGTCTTAATGGCAATTGCAGCGGAAAGAGGATACGTTGTGGAAACGATGGACGTGGTGACTGCATTTCTCCAGAGCAAAGTGGAAGAAGAAGTGTATGTTCGTCAAGCTAAAGGATACGAAATAATGGATGAAGTGACGGGACTACCGCTGGTGATGAAGCTCAAGAAAAGCTTATACGGATTGAAGCAGAGCCCTCGGAACTTCGGCAACGCATTTGCCAAAGGAATAAAAGAAATCGGTTTTTACTGCTCTACTGAGCGACCCGTGCGTATATGTGTACGGTGCTGGACCTACATACGCGATACTATGTGTGTACGTGGACGACTGCACACTAGCTGGAAAGACACCGAGCGTGGTTCAAGATTTGAAGAAACAACTATCGGACAAATTCAAGATGACGGACGGAGGACCAGCGGAACTACTACTAGGGATGGAGATTTCTCAGAGCGACGGAGAAATCGCAGTGAGCCAACAACAAATATGTGATGAACATACTGGACAAGTATCAAATGAAGGACTGCAAATCAGCGGCGACTCCAGGATGCGGGCATGAAATTGAACAAGAGCCGGAGAATGCTATATATTTAAGTGACGAGGACAAGAAACTCTACCAGGGAATAGTCGGAAGTCTCCTCTTCTTGACTAACACGACGAGATGGGAGATTGGATATGCCGTCATGATCCTGTGCAGAGGGATGAACAAGCCTACCAATCAACATATGATCGGAGCAGAGAGAGTGCTGCGATACCTTCGAGGATGCCCGGATATGCCACTAAAGTTCAGGAGAGGACAATGGGACCTGAAGTGCTACTGTGACGCGAACTTCGCTAGATCGGGCGAGAGACTTCAGAAGTTCTTCTACTGGATATATCTGCATACTGGCGGGAGGCGTCATCAGTGCAGCATCAACTCTGCAGAAGCTAACAGCACAATCAAGTGTACATGCGGAGATCATCGCGATGGCTACAGCAGCGAGGGAAGCAATTTATCTGCAAGGTGTACTATCGGAACTTGGATTTCCATGCGGCAACATCCCGCTTCATTCGGATTCAACGGGAGCGCTGAGCATAGCAGGAAACTCCATGTTTCGAGGCCGCAGCAAGTTCATCAGCACGAGATACTGGCTACTTCGCCAGAACGTCAACCAGGGAAATATTGTGCTAAAGTTCGTGAGGAGTGAGGAGCAGCTTCCGGACATATTGACCAAGCATCTGGAACGTGTCCAATTCGTCAAACTGCGGACATTGGTTCAAGAACAAGAAGGATCTACGAAATAGGAGATTTCATGCGGCGGAACTGGAGATGTGACAATTTCAGATGTACAGCAGTATAATAAGGACAACACGAGAAGGCTGGTGCGACGACTACACACCAACCACTACCGAGAAGGTCAAGGCTAAGACAATCTGGATAACAACGACAAGGAAAGACATCACAAACAAGACAGAACTACCTGGAAAACAACGACATACAAGACCGACAAGACCAAGGAGGCGTACTTCCTGGACGACAACAACAACAACAACAACAACAGCGTCATCATCGAAGACGTCTGGAGACACAACAACGGCATAATTGCTACACTGGAGAAGGAGACGGGATGAGAAGGAGAGTCATGCCGTATGAAATAGTTATACCGAACATCAGTAACGTAGAGAAGAGTGAATTTTGTAAAAAATAAAGTGAATCCCGGGCATGGACATCACAGACATGATGTTTGCTGCAGGGTCATTCTGTCTACATAGAAGAATGAACGGTTTTACGAATCGGTGTATGTGATACTTCGTATGAGGTGTGATTCTGGTAAGGTAACATAATTGGCCAGATGAAAGAGAAATGCTGTGATAGAGGCATGTGTTTACGTACATGCTAAGAGCGTTGAGATACAGTAGTATTTGTATGCGACGAAGGAAAGGTTTACTATGGCCATTCAACTGTAGTCAACGTATTTCACTATTATTATTGTGAAACGGTTAAACGCAGTTTTTTGTGTTGAGCAAACTTGGGGACAAAATTAATATATTTGTTCACTGAATGCGGGAGAGAATAAGAGTGGAGTGACATTGAAGTAAAATATAAGGACAATTAATTTCGGAGAAGGATAGCAGCTGAACAGGCAGTTGTTGAAGCATGAGTAACGCGCGTACCGTTATACAAATTATGGGGGCGTGTATAATGTAAGAGTACTGAATTGAAGTAGGTGCGTAAAAGACTTGCAGGATTTATGCAGTAGATTTAGAACAACACTGGGGTTGTTGAAGCGCACGTAACATTGCATCCGTCATGGGGGCGTGTTGAAATACAGCGCATTGCTGCTGTAGGATGTGTGTAGTAGAATAGATGCAGCTGTATGATTGCTGTATGCAATGATACGTACATGCGGTATGATATGTGACGTTTGGTCAAACGTAACATGTGTGACGAGTTCTAGCGAGGAGCTCACGAATGAATTGATGGTTGAGCAGAGGATTGTAATTGTAGCGAGATCACGAGGTGTTGCGAGCCCCACCGGGTTCACTCCCTAACTATCCCTCAACATCTCACCTCTGCAACTGAGCTAGGCTCCGGTGCCACCGGCAGGCAATAATGAAAGTCCCATTGAGGCAACAATGATACCAACTTCAGTCTCGACGACTACACACAGGCTTAACCACCTGCAGACACGACCCTTGGGTAAAGGGCACCTCGACACGACACATTTCTACAGTATGTGTACCCTCCCGTGGTATGGGGTTGGTTTGAATCAGCGGTAGGCAGTAGATTGGATCTGGACGGAAAGGGCATATTGTTGGGATGTAGAGCTCGAGGCTCTAACCTGTTGGGATGTAGCCTTTGTGATAGGTGTATCCCTGGATGTGGCACTGTGTAATAACAGTGTGCAGAGGCTCACAGAGTGACTGTAAAGTACACTTGTGTTGTAGACTAGATTGATGGTTTGAATTGGCGCTTATGTGGCCGAAAGGTAAGGAAGAGAAGAGGAGTCCTGGGACTCGCAAGAGTCCCGAAGGACTTGGAAGAGGCGGCCAAGGGCCTTGGAAGAAGAGAGAAAGGAAGGAGAGTGATCGAGAGGGGGCAAGCACCACAGGAGGCGAGCCTCCAAGCTATCACGGAAAGATGCACGCATACGGACTATTGCAACGTACCGGTCACGGTAACAGTCGGTTAATCCGACCTATAGAACCAATCCAAGAATATCCTACTGGACAATGGTCCGATGTACCATACTCCTATGGTTCAACATATAACCCGTAGTATTGTTTTGTAGATGGATCTCCTTGACGCGCGCTGGCAATAACCGCCCGGCTGCTGCTGCCCTTGTGTTCCAAATGCTTTCCCTGGATCTCCTTGGCACGCGCAGGCAAAAACCGCCCTGCAGCTGCTGCCCTTGTATTCCAAACCCTGTTCCCTGGATCTCCTTGACGAGCGCGAGCAAAAACCGCCCTGCTGCTGTCCTTGTATTCCGGTGCCTACCTCCCGAACCTTTCGCTACCGACGTCAGCTGACTCCACGATATCGTGTTTGGGGTGTCGGCGCGTGTACTATGTTATCACGCTCTCTGGCTCTTGTCGAGAGCGTGTTGCACAAAGGAGTGACTCAAGTTCCTTGATTATTAGAGAGAGATTAACGAGTGACAGACGTGAGCAAGAAGAGGCAAAGCCTGCTGCACCAAGTCTGTCTATCATACCCATATCTATCTCATCTGCGTATCCCCCTCGGAGATCTCGGAGAATTGTATCCTGCCGTGTACACACACAAACAGACTTCGAACGTGGGGTGCAATTTCCTCTCTTCGTACCTTCCTCGTCGGCCTTCTCCATCGTCATGTACATAATGTACACCTCGATTTTTCGACTTTTCGATCCAATAGACAAGACTACGGACTGACATGTATGTCCCTTTCACCTCCGACGGGACCGCGCGCTCGTCGAGTGTCGAGATTCTTCACCACTTCCTTGCCTCTCCCAACACCGTCCCTTCTTCCCGCCGCTACAAATCCTTTTCCCCTCCTTCTTCTTCTTCCCTTCCTCCCGGACACTCACCACCATCGGTCCTGGATGTTGGCCCCCAGCCCCATTGGGGGGCGGGGGGCCAATCCTTAACCCTAGTTCCATATACTCAAGCCCTTACAGTTCCCACATCGGAACGATCTGGCCGCACCCGTCCGGGCCGTACTCGACCAGGCCCGGGCAGTCGGTCTCGTCGCGCGCGGTATTTGCTGGGCCGTTTCCCTCTACCCACGAAATAAACTAAAACACAAAAGGTTCAGTATCAAAAGGTTGATGGGCCCCGTGGCTCCCTCTGCTTGTTCGCGCATTGCTCTCTGTATTGGAACTAGCATGGCCTAGCCGGAAGGCCACCCGCGGGATCAACAGGGGGCTGTGAGTTTGGGGAGCCGATCAGCCCACCGCCGTCGTTCGCCTCGACAACCTCGGCGTCCTTGTCCGCACTTTTGCTGTTGATCAGATATTTCCATTGGACCACCTGCAGGGCATTAGCCGACATTGACATTCAAAGTCCGGAGCATTCACAATAATGTGTTGCGTTCGCCTGAAATGAACTTGACGGCAATCTGCGTGCTGGCGTCGATGTCTGCGCTGAACCATGTGGCAGATGGCCTCTTGTCTTCGTTTTCGTAGTTTAGCAGGCCTTTTACTTCCCAGTTTACCGGCACATATTCCCAACAATAGCAACGCCAACGACGAACAACCACAAAGCACAAGCACAGATCGCACCAGGACGAGGAGCAGGACGGCGAGCAAGCAGCATGACACCCAATAGTTCAGCAGCCCCTCCGGCACGTCATCGCAAATCTCTTCGAATACGACCCTTTGATAAAAGCCGTTGATGTTCTCGCATGACGTCAGCTCCGCGGCTTCCTCAAGAGTTGTCCACAGAGCCTGAAACGAGGTCTCAAGCGACTGCGTAAACGGCAGCAACTCCTCGCACACATTCGTGGAGGTCTACCTTTCGCCCAATCAGACGGAGAACATCACAAACAAACGTCGGAGCGGGATGAGTGCGACGCTATCGTAGTCCTCGCTAGCAAGTACAATCAGGGAATCTGACAGGCTAGTTCTATTGTACACCTGCGTTTTACTTTCACTAACTTGCTCCGCTTCTGGCACACTGCTGTGGATTGAATCAGGTGTCTATAGCCCCTGCCTGGTTGAGTGGTCATTTACCCCAAGATTGCAAAACACCGAACACGCCCCGATACAGACGGAATTAAGAAACCAGGCGGGGCCACCGCGTTTCACCGCCAACGGGTCCAAGTCGTGTGGGGCTGCTGGGCTACAAAATTGGCACTGCTGTTGGTACAGACGGACATAGACCGCTCCATAATGCTTTCTCTTTCGAAAGATATCTCGGTGGACGGAGAACAAAAACGCGCAAGACTTTATATAGCACGCCGTTCTTGTCCTTGTCGGAACCTCGAGAGTCAATCCGCTCGCTGACAACAGTGCGCGAAAGAAGGGATGAAAACAATGGCGGTGCTACGATGCCTTTTAGCTTCGACGTGGAAACACAAAAATATCGTTGTGAATACACTTGTTAGGACGTGCAGTAGATTGTCCCCTAGGCATCGAAAATAGGCGGATATGTGGAGCAAATAACGCCCGCCCCCGCCCCCAGATGAGTGCACGCCGCCTCACAACACCGGGTGATCACGCCTCGTAGTGGGCACTGCCTGTGTACGACCTAGAACATGCCACGCACCTGGAGCGTTTTGTTGTGATTTCGCACGAGAGGTAACGAACAAAGCCATGAACCCTTCAGCGGCAAAGACTCGGAGCAAATTTCGAAGAGCTTTCTCGACCAATGGGCTGATCGCCGAGTGCGACCCCCCCGCGTGTGCTGCCCACCCCTCGTCCCCACTCACGTCATAGAGAGAGGTGAGAGTCAACTGAATGAACACTCTGGCGAATTCTTGCGCGAGGATGACGGCATCAAAGGGAACTGATTCCTCGCTTTGGCAATCGGTGGTGTACCAGGTGACGATGTCGACGATACCTTTGCGAAAAAAAGGGAACAGCGTGTTAGGCGGCCGGCCTTCACGTAAACTGCCATAAGCTTGGTATCACAAGCGTGCTAGGTATGTTACTTCAGTAGCTTGAGTACCAGGCGAAGCGTGATATATCGTGCCGCGATACGCACCATCTCATCCTCCTAAGCAACATTGACCTCCGCTTCACTTTTCAAGTGTCAATGTTGATGGTAAAAAAAAAACTCCTTGGAGAAACACCACCCTTCATGGTTTGTGTTCCCAGATTCAAAACTATCATCCTGTGGGGTGGTATCATCTGGCAAATCTCGGTGTATCCCACAACATGGAAAGATGGCGTTAAGATCCTAAACGTGTGGATCACTTCCGCGCCCTTGAATGAGGATTCACAAAACAAGTGAGCAACATAAACCGTAATCTTGCCCACCCTCATCTTCGATGGCTGAGGCGAGGAGCCTTTCGGTGTTCCCGTTCGGGTCGATGCAGTAATCTCCTGTCAAGGCTGCAAGAAAGCGGGCAAAGGTAAAGCAAAGTGCGTGCGGAAGGTCTTACTTCGAGAATGTACAGCAGTGAGCACTACTATGGCTCTACCGTCATTGCAGCAAGAGTGTGTAGAATGCCCACCGTCAAACCGCACAACGTGGCTAGATGAGAATGACCTCAGGGGTTTCGAGCAACGGTCTGTTGCCCCTTTGCTTCCTTGGTTTGATGCAAAGAAGGTGATCGAGTAGAAGTCAGTGGCGATATTTCACTAGACTATCAGTATGGGCGATTGGACCAGTTGCCGAATGGACTGGCAGCCAGCCGGTGTCAAGGAGGCGCCACGCCAAGCCACGAGGGGCTTGAAGTAGAGACCTTTGAAGACATTGCAGCGATAACAAAAGTCGCTCGACAAGCCAAGCCACTGCTCGGCGGACGGGTGTGGCAATTAAATAGGACAGCGCGATGGTGAGCACGTACAGGGGGATCTCACCGCTAAGTGATATCACCGACGCCGCACACAGATAGACCACGACAGCGAGGAAAACAACGAACGGTGCAAATCCACCAGTACACGGCGCTCGGCAGCTGGGTCGGGCACATGCCACCGCCTCGTACGTGGTGCAGGATATCAGGATGAACAAGGCGACGAAAACCAATGCCAAGATGATAGTCGGCCACACAATCGTCCTCCGCAAGACCTTGGTGGTATACATGGCGTCCGATATGTCTTGCACCTTCACAAAACACGTTTATGTTGTTGGTTAGGATGGGGGTATCAGGAGAGGGTGTGAGCAGCAGCAAGGGGGGAGCGGCGAGAGGCCAACCCGCATTGCCGAGCACGCTCTTGCTGGGTTGTTGTCCGTTTATTCACAAATATTTGTCCTCAACAATTCACCGTTAGTGTATATGCACTGGACAATCGCGACGGCGTGCGGCATGCAGCAGAAACGCTATGTGTAGCAGCCTCTGCGTGGGGTTTGTGAGAGCTCTTAACTTCGGTTCGGGCTTATGAGAGCAGTACAACGGAACTCGGAATTTAACGTGTTGTGAGAGGGACTGCAATACTGTAGATCGAGGGACAGCACTGCCTGCGGCCCCACTGGGGCCGCCTTTCGGCAACCCCTCTACTGTGTACACGTAGTAGAGAAACCTTTTGTGAAGATCAGCATGACAGAAATACTCAAGACAAACGAGTAGTGGGGAATAGCGTGGCGTGGGTGTAGAGAGACACGTCGATTCTGCAGGTTTCGAGCTGCCGCACACACGTACTCATGGAAATGGCGAGCTCGGTCATGGTGTGCGGGCCAGGTCGATGTTTGCGGGTTCGAAAGAATGTGGTGTCCCACCTTCCTGACACCAATACCCGTTAAAAAGGCTAAGGTGAACAAATCCAACAAATCCCAAGGACAAGGACTACATACAGTAGGAGCCGCAGCTCTTTTTACAAGCGCCGTTGAGATTGCCTGGGCCCTACGAACCCAGACCGATCATCGCGAAATGCCCCCTACTAACTCGTCTTCACCTCCACTCCTTTCAAGCGAATTGATCCGCCTACCTCTGTCCTGGGCCATCCACTCAACACGAGAAACGAGATAGTGCACACACGCTGCACATTTTCAGTTTGGTTGAGAATTTTCTCGCACATGATCGTCCCAGCTCCGAACAGCGGGTTGGCCGAGAGTTCTCTACCACAAGGCAAAACCCCACCTGTTTGGCGATATCTGCCAGACTCGTCCGATCGATTTCGTCGATTGCGGTTTGCACTTCGCTCGCGAGGGACCCGAAGTCAAGGCCGGCCACAATTGCTTGCGCAATGTCAGGGTTCTCGCAATCGCCGACGCTGGCTTCGAGTACGTCGTAGGAGTCCGAGACTAATCCTAGGCCGACCGCCGTGTCCGCCGGCAGGCCAATGATCTTCGCACGCACACGCGAGGGGGGGAGGTGTGTGGGTATTTCTCTGAAAGTATCGGCCGCGCTGACTGGTTGACCAATGAAACTACATCATCAGTCTTCCGGGTAAAAAAACCCAGATATGTGTGTAGAAAAACATTAAAAAAAGGAAGATATACCTGTATGTAGGGCGATGCAAATGCCGGGAACAACGAGGCAACCGCGGTTTCGACGCCGTTCGTGCAATGTAGCAGCAGTTTGCACACGAGCCTTGAGTTAACGCCGTCCTTACCACTGTTGTCATCACTGTGTTCGTGCGCGATGGGCTTCCTGCCCAAAGGACACCACTATTAGCATGTCGAACAATTCCACGGCCAAGGCGTGACGCGATTCAAACTATCGAAACGCACGCTCGATCACGAAAGTACCGTTCAGATGCACGACACCCAGAAGCCCCTTTTGCCTTTTCCAGGTAGTTCCAACAAAACTAAGAAACCTTGAAATACAGCAAACAAAGAAAGAAACACATTATAGTCACCTCGCTGCGTTCCGAAACCTATCGAGTCCATTGCATGGCCGGGTTAAAACCACCTGCCGCCGAGGTGATGTCTGCAAGAATTCCTTACTCGCCTCTAAGACGTCTTTGGCGATGGCTTCTGTGCGGTCTTCAATAACGAGCATGCCAGAGTCCGCCTTTTCCAACCCCGCAATCGCGCTCGAGCAACACGCAAGGGCCGCCCAGCTGACGAGTACCATTAGAAGGCCTCCTGCGCAGTGGCGGTGCGGGCCGTTCTCGAGCCTGGCACGCACCAAACACAGCGGCAGGGGCCGGTGCAGGATTGACGCAATGTAGACTTCTCCACGGTGTGCTTGATGTGTTGTGGCAGCTTTTGGAGTAACATGTCTTCGACCGTTAGCAATCGCAATCAAGGGGGGCCTTGATGGGTTCGTTGACGACGGCTTTGTTACTGAGGTCAGAACTTCGAGGGAGAGATCACCTCTGAGGATCACGCACGATGACTTCAGTAGGGCGGAGTCGGCGGAGATGAAGCGTTGGCGCGAACGCACGGACACCCACCGCAGTCCAGTATTTTTTGGTGGTGCGCATGAAATGAAAACAAATATTTCACGATCAACTACTATTCAATTCAACACACTGAAAAAACAACAAAAAGTAGCTGATTTGCCAGGGGCAGGTCTCCACGCCACACCCACGAGGCGTTTCACATTAGACCCCGATTTATGGGAACAAAATCTTGTCGATAAATCTTGATCTTGGCCAAGATCTGCCAGTTTCACGATTTATGGGAGAGAAATCTTCCGATATACCTTGGCCAAGATTTCTCGAGGCCCGAAATCTGCCCTTTCGAACAAATCTTGACCCAAGATCTGTCGAAACGAGCCTTCCGGCAAACCTTGAGGCGGCGTAACAAATCTTGCCTGGGTGCGGCGCGATCACCGAAGGTCAGTCAATCTAATCGCCCATAACGCCATGAAATCTGCACGTGGCACACTCGCAAGGGTCTCTAACGCACCCTGGCGTCACTGTGTCGGCGCCACGGGCGCCGACAGTGAACGAAAACAACCAAGGCGGTCGAAAAAAATGCGTATTTGCCCTGGTTCGTTCCACGTGCGTCATCACCAGTCTGTCGAGGGACCGTTCAAAGAGTACTTTATTGTGAAATAGAAAAATAGAGCAGGAGGAACGTTTTGCCAACACTGCTCTGTCGTGTGCGACGCTTCTATCTCTTCATCGAATCACCACACACCAAACCCGTTTGCACCCGAGCCAAATCCGTGGGTGCAGATGACAGCGCCGGAGGTTTGACCTCGGTACGCCTGCTACATAGTAGTGAGATACGTGCATGGGTGTCATCGGCCTCGGGTTGATGCACTTTGTTGTCAGTTGGACAGCAATGGAACAATTTTGTTTCTCCGCTTGACATGAGCTCGTGGGCAACGGCCTCAATTTTGCACCCCAGGTAGCCGCCCACCGCTGGTATCCACCCACAGTGTTGAGGCAATACAGCTGGGGGAGGGACGCCCCTTCTACAACTGCGTCATGCTCACTTTTCGCCAGACCTCGGCATTTTCTGTGGACCAAGTGGCCGTTGTGCCTTTATCAACTTCAAGCAGAAGAGAGGAACAACACGCCGCTTTTTTAACATTCAAGATATTTCCCCCATAAATCGCGATACTGCAAATCTTCGCGGAGATATATTGTGAGCTAATCTTGGGTCAAAATGACAAGATATATTTGCAAGATTCTGTTTCCATAAAGAAGGGTCTTACCAACAACGTGGAAGGTGTTACCGGATAAATATCGAAATCATACGGAGTCAGCAAATAAATCTGACCTTGGCAACATTTACAAGTTGTCGCAGGTGTCTTCTACCATCATCATCGCGAATCATGTTTCAGGCCGTCAGAAATACAACTTTTGACCAAGTGCTTAGGTGGGACCTGCAGTATTCAATGGCATCGAAGCAGCAGTCACTAAGGGCGCATTTCAATCGGAAACAAATCATCCGATCAAAGACCTTGGCAACATGTGAAAGTTGTCGCCTCACGGTATCTTTTGCGACCGCGGACCATGCTTCGGGCCGTAAGGAATTCCAATATTGACCCAGGCAGCAAGTTCACAAGTGGGACCTGCAATATTTTTGCATTCATGCAGCAGTCACTCTGGGCGAATACTACTACACCTCATAAAACTGACGGTACGCAAGGCGCAGGACAGGCACGGAGACGCACCAGGCGAGCAAGAGAGTATTCCGACAAAAAATCACACTCCGATGTAAACAACAGAACAAACGAACGGTACTTGGGATTTTTAGAAATGGATGCAGCGGAAAGCCAGACTCAGCAAAACAAAGAAAATGCGCACCTTGTCACAAGGTGGGCCTGCCTTGACTTCCTGAAGCAGCAGTACAAGCAGGGGAGTACAGCACACGCCAGGAGCCCGGCGGCGACGAAAATCGACGCCAGCGTGAGGAGGCCGAGGACTTCGCCACCAAACAGGTCAAAGTTTAGAGGAAGTTAACTTTCAGAACATTTAACTGAGGACTGAGGAATGCATAAGATCGATGGGCACATCCTCCGACTCTCCGTAGATGGGCACGCGCGTGGCAGCACGTGTGTTAACCACTTGCCCTCCACCAACATATATATTCAGTACGTCCAAACTTCATCAACAAGTAATTCAGTACATTGTGATGGTATCCGGGGGTGTCAACCAATACATATATATACTACCAACTACTGGTAGGTGCTGAGTTACAGTTGTCTAACACAGTTGCAGGTCCTCCAAGGTCTCCTCTCCATTTTGATCTTCGTATTAGTTCCTCCACACACGGGTCTCGAGGCAGGAAGCTCGGGACTGAAATCCAATCTGGTGCGGGTCTCCGCAGTCAGGAACAAAGCATACCTAGGGGTATCCAAATCCTTCATACGCCCGAATTCTTGGTTACCTTCAATTCCATAACAACATCCAAACTTCGAGACAATAATTTCGTCGCGCACAGTAGTGAGGGAGCCTTCCTGCCCAGCCAAAAGGAAAGAAAGGTTTTCCCGCTTGTTTTTAAGAGCGACAATTTTAACAGTACAGTTAGCGCCCGCAATTAAGAAATAGGAGTATTGTTTTAAGAAATAGAAGCTCACTTTCCCACGAAAGACAAGAAAACAGGGCTCAGTCTGGGTCACACACCAAGAAATGTCTCAATAAGAAACAGCGGCGAGCGCTGCCCTACTACATATGAAATGAGGGGTTACGGGGGGGAAGTGTGTCGAATAAGAAACACCCCACAGCCAGCTCCTCCTATCTCTCGCTCTGTCCCCCCTCTCCCACTACCCCCCCCCCCCCTCCCATAGTGCATTATTAGTTGTACGAAGAGGGGGGAGTGTGTTTGTTTTGCGGCGCTTCCTCCGGCCCCCTGCCGGCTCTGGCCAACTCTGGCGCTCTCTGGCGCTCCGGCTCTGGGACAGCACACCAGACAGACAGACAGGCTGCGAACCACGATATGCTGTCTGCTGTACGGTTTTGATGGTGCTCTCCACCAGCTATCGTGAGGGCAAATCATTTGTTTAATTTGAACGTTGTGTAATGTACTAAGCAAGCAGAAGAAAGTAAGAAATTGCCGATTTAAGAAATTCAGCAGTATTTGGCGGCACGAAAAAATAAGAAACTCGACATAAGAAATTGAACGACATACGCTGAGTATATAGCCCGCAATAAGAATTCGAGGCTGGACCTGAAATAAGCGTTTCTTAATTGCGGGCGCTAACTTGTTATAGGATTCAGATGTGTAGACGGAACATAGAAGAGCTTGGTTCCTTCTAGGAGGCGCGGAGAGATGTAACTCTCCGCGGAAGGATAAAAAGCAGGGGACAGGATCTAGTAGCCCCGGCTTGTGCAGAGGATCCTGTGCCCCTTGGTGTCATTCCTACCGATACCCAAGGCAACAGCTACTGCTGCTGCTGTTCTACAAGAGTAACAACAAGTGAGTTCGTCTTCACGGGTCAACCAGACTTCATCACGCGTGCATACCACTACACTTGGCGTTGTCGGCTTATTCGTACGGTGTTGTCTGGGTTGGTTGTGTCTTGGCGCGGTTTGGTGCTTTAGGCTGCTGCTGCAGTTTTTTGCGCTTTCGTCCCAACCACAGCTTAGCTTTGCCTCGCTTATCGGTATGTCTCAATCTAGCGTCGGCTCATCGGACTCCGCTTCGGCGAGTCCTGAGCATTCTGAACGTTCGCGTTCGCCGGTGTCACCGCCTCGCGTAGCGACCTTCGGGTCCCCGGCAGCTGGTCGTCAGGCCACACAGCTGCTGCTGTCTTCGGACGGTGCTCGTGCCGCTGACCCTGTTGCCGATGCCGCTCGTTTGTCAGAGCTTCGCGCTCAACGCATTCGGGAGAGGTTCGCCTCGCCGGCTTCGGCCGACGCTAACCCCGTGGGTGCTGTCCTCAAACCGCCAGCACCCACACCTGGAACTTCGGTTTCTGCCTCTGTGCCTTTGGGTGTAAAACAGCAGTCCGTCTCGACGGCTGCTGGTGATGAGCTTTCTGAATTCCCGCGTGAACCACATGTCGACTCGGATTTTCCTCTCGCCCCATCCACCGTTGAGCACTCTGCTCTTGGGACCGACATCGGTTTCGACCGTGTTGCTGGCCCTGTAGTACCACGCTTGTCCAGTCGCTCGGCTTCTCGCAGCACGTTGCAATTTGACTATACAGTGCCGGCGATTCCCCTTTTTTCTTCTCGCAGCGATCGTGTACAAGCAGCGGCTCGCGCTCAACGGCTTCGTGACCGTCGTGTATCTGCTTCAGTGACATCACCGCTTGCAGATTCCGCCGCATCACCACCCACTGTTCCAGTAGTTTCGACTGCACGGGCGATTTCGATTGCCTCTGGTACACTCCCCACAGTAGCCTCGTCTACCACAGCTCTTTCGGTTGATTCTACTGCATTTGATCCCGTGGTTTCGCCCACACAGGCCATTTCGTTTGCCTCCGATGCTTTAGCTTCAGTAGTTTCGACTACACGTGCAGTTTCGGCTGCTACTGTGCCTGTTCCTGCGGTCTCGACTGCTGTAGGTGTGTTTGCCTCCATCCCTTTAGCTCCGCCGCTACCCACAGTTTCGACTGTTCGCGGTGCTGCCGCCTTAGCCGCCCCACCTTTGCGTACCGTTTCGACGCCGCGCACTGCTGTGACGTCTGCCCCCCCACATGCCTATCATGTTCCCTTTACTGGTGCACCTGTCTCTGCGGTTTCGACTGCTGCACGTGTACTTTTGCCCATTCCATTAGCTCCGCCCCTGCCCACAGTTTCGACTGCTGGCGATGCTATTATTCCAGCAGCTCCGCCTCTTCGTACCGTTTCGACCCTGCGTACAGTGTCGTCTGCCCCTTTCCCCGCCCACACTACTTCCACACAGAACCCTGTGTCAGCGGCTTCGGCTGCTGTAAACACCGCTGTTTCTATGCCAGTAGATACGCCTCTGCCCGCATTTTCCACAGATTCACGTGTTCACACGGCGGGTTTCGATCCTACCGTTTCGACCGACTCTGCCATGCTAGCTTCTGCTTCGGCACCCCTAGCTGCGACTTCGGTTGTTTCCGCAGTGCCCTCTGCCGCTGCACCTCTTAATTTTCGAACATGGTGCCCCCACCCCCCCCCATGCTTTCCTCATCGCATGAACGTGCTGCTGATGCCTTGTTCCATCTTGAAATCGTAAAGCGCCGTAACCGTCATCTCTACGACATCCTTCGCCGTACGACGATGGTGGCCACCCCCCCTGCCGTCAAGCCCGAGGCGGCGTCTTCTGCTGGGATATCGACTCCAGAGCTTCGGGATTCCACCACCGGTGGCGGAACAAGGTCTTCAGTCACCGGCCGGCCGGCCGAGCCTGTCTAGATGATCCTACCCCCCTCGGCTTCGGCCACCACCGCTGCTTCGGCGGCACCCTCGGCTTCGGCCACCACCGCTGCTTCGGCGGCGCCCTCGGCTTCGGCCGCCACCCCTTCTTCGGCAGTACCCCCGGCTTCGGCCACGGCTTCGGCCGCGGCTGCAACTTCCGGACTTGGCCACGGAAGTGGCCATCGCGTTGCCGGCGGCCGCCACCATACAGGACGCGGTGGATGTGGCTAACGCCTCCCGTCCGGATCTTCGGGATCTGGCCGGCCGTTTCCTCGCTCGGATGCGGACGGCCAACACCCGCGCCACTGCTCCCGTGGTGTACCCTGGCTGCAGCGGCCCGTCTTCAGAGGCCTCCTATGGGTTCCAGCAGCCGCCGCCGGGTCGTGTCAAGCAGGCGCAACCGAGTCGGGAGAGTGGTCCTGGTAGCTCGGGAGAGGAGTCGGGCTGGAGCTCGGCCGGAGCATCGCGTCGACCCCCGGCGCCTTCGTCCTCTTCGGTGGGTGGTAGCCGGGAGAGAAAGGTGGCCAAGCGTGGCGGGGATGGCGCTCGTGGCTCCAAGAACAAGAGCGGGACCGGGTCGGGCTCGGACACCAGCTTGTCCCGCAAGTCGGGCCGCCAAAGGCAAGTAGTTCCGTCTCTTATGGACGCGACTTCGGGTGCTCGTTTCTTTTTGCGTGATGATTTTGTTCCTCCGGCTTCGCCCCCCCCCGTTTCTTCGGAAACTCGTGTTGCGTTTTCGAACCTTCCGGCTTCGACCCCCCCCGTTTCTTCGGAAACTCGTGTTGCGTTTTCGAACATGCCACAGGCTTCGGCCCCCCCCGTTTCTTCGGAAACTCGTGTTGCGTTTTCGAACATGCCACAGGCTTCGCCCCCCCCCGTTTCTTCGGAAACTGTTGCACCTCCTGTTTTTTCTACCGCTGATTATGCTGTAGGCTCAGGAATCGCACACAACCCCGGGTTCTCAAACCCCACCCCCCCTTCCCCCCCCGGTGTTTGCCATCGGGGTTTGGGTTTTCGTCGCTTGGCAACGACGTTGTAAAACAAGCCCCCCACTCGGTGTTTGCCATCGGGGGTGGGTTTTCGTCGCTTGGCAGCGACGTTGTAAAACAAGCCAATTCACTTCGTGAACTCGGCAACCAGGTTACCGTTTTTTTTTTTTTACCTTGGTTTTTTTTTTTGCGGTAACCATAATGTTGGTCGAGTAGATCATGTTGTGCGGGGTGGAGAACCCTCACTCCGCGCAACGGGGGATGATCGCACCACGTTGTGTTAAAATGGTCAAGCTTCCTCGAGGCAGTTACACAGTGAATACAACTGTCTCTGGAAGTGAAAGCACCAGAAAATAAATTAAGTCATACGTAGCTGTCATCCGTACGCAAGGAAGTAAGCACAAGATGCCGAACACCCTTAGCAGGATGCAGCTCACCCTTCATGCGACTCGCCAAATACCTCACGGCGCTTCGCGCTTGGTGATGTGAGAGCCTGGTCCGGTGAGAACCCGGCGTGCTCCGTCCCGGCTTTGTAGGGATGCGAGGTCAATGGTCAAACGACTACGGCATGCACGACTATGAGTACCCCCCCCCCCCCCCCCCTTCGACTTTTGTGCCCGTACAAGATGTTCATCATGTTGTACCGTCTTGGGATCGTGTTCCGCCTGCTGCTCCTTCGGTTGCAGCTGCTGCACCCCCTCTCGTTTCGGATGATAGTGTCTTGCCACTTTTCTTCCAACATTGCACATGCTCGTCAAGCC